TCCCTCCTTCTCCCTCTCTCCCTCTCCCTCCTTCTCCCTCTCTCCCTCTCCCTCCCTCTCTCCCTCTCTCTCCCTCCCTTGTCAGTCAAGTTTCCTTTTGTACCATGTACCATGCAGGGCTCCAGCAGCAGACAGATGGCATGTTCCAAACAAGATAATCCAAAGGGGTCTAAACAAAGGACTATCTGTGGGTAACAGGACATGGAGTACGGAGATTGCAGCCTGATAAAACAGAACGATTGTCACCCTGACCAAGAGGATGTGGGGGGACATGGGCACCTGAACCCAGACCGACAGCTGGGAGCTCTGATCTTGTGCATGCCCCTGGCTCCATATGAAAGGACTTGGGGTAATATACATCCCCCTCACCCTCCCTGCTGCAAGCTCCTCCCATGGTTTACCACGGCCAAGTGCAATAGTCAAAGGAGTCTGTGGATGTTGCCACAGACAGGACAGCAGGGTCATGACAGGCAGTTCAGGAATCTGGGAAGCATCTGGCCCAGCCCCTCACTCTGCCTTCACTGCACAATTAGGACTTGACTTCTCCCCACTCAACGGATCCTGTGAAGTTCACAATGGGCTTGGTAATCACCCTACCTCCTAGAGACCTCTGAGGCCTGGGACAGGGCTGATGGCTTCCTCCTTCTTGAAATACTTCCTCTTACTCTTACCTTTGCATTGCTGCTTTCTAAGTAGCTGCTTCCCAAGCCCCCTGGCTGGTGCTAGGTCCCCAGTGTTCTGTCCTTGGCTTTCCTCCTCCCCTGTGGTTTTGACTACCACAATTGATGATTCAAGGTGATTCTCAAAATCCTTTGTTCAGTCTTGATCTCTTATCAAACTCCAGACAATCTTCATATCACCTGGGAACCTCACTTAAACATCTCACGGGCCTTTAAATTCAGCACATCCCAAACTTGCAGTCTACCCAATATTCGTGCTTCTGCATTTCTCTGTTATTTAGCTATAGACCATCAAGTCCACTCTCCAGGAGGAAGGGGGGAGAGAGAGAGAGAGAGAGAGAGAGAGAGAGAGAGAGAGATCATCTCACATCTCGGAGGCCCAGGGACAACTGTGGAGTTGGTTCTCTTCTTCCTCTTGGACATGGGCTCCAGGGATCAGGTCAGCTTTTACCTGCTGGGCTATCTTGCCAGTTTATTTCATTGTTTTTAATATTGTCTTTTTGAGACAGGGTCTCTCTGTAGCCCCAGGTGACCTGGAACTCACTACGTAGACCAGGCTGGCCTCAAACTCACAGAGCTCTGCCTACCTCTGCCTCCTGAATGCTGGGATTAAAGACATACACCACCACGCCCAGCTCTCGTTCAATCTTTTTAAAGACAATTATTTAGGAACTGGAAAAATACTCTGCACATTCTATTTAAAAAATATTTGAGGGCCAGTGGGATGGCTCAGGGGGTAAAGGTGCTAGCTGCACAAGCCTGATGATCCAATCAATACCTAGAACCCATGTAAAACGCCAGATGAGATGGTATGCATCTGTAGTCCTGGCACTCCTACAGGGAGATAGGAAGTGGAAATAGGAAAATCACTGGGAAGCCCTCAGGCCAGCTAGGCTGGAGTATGCAGAACAGCAGCAGAAACAAGAGAGACCCTGTTCAGTTTGCTTTCAATTGCTGTGACAAAACATTCTGACCAATATCAACTTAGGGAAGAAAGGGTTTATTTGTTTCATATCTCCCAGGTCACAGTTCATCACTGAGGGAGCCCAAGGTAGGAGCTCAGGGCAGGAACCTGGAGGCAGGAGCTGAAGTATAGGCATGGAAGATCGCTGCTTACTGGCTTGCTCCCCTGGCCCATGCTCAGCCTGCTTTCTTATATAATACAGAACGAACTGCCCAGGGGTAGCACTGCCCACAGTGGGCTGGGCCCTCCCATATCACTCAAAAATCAAGAAAATACCCCACAAACATGGCCACAGACCAGTCCAGGGGAAGAAATTC